GATATGTTACCTATTGCTCAAACTACAGAACCAGTGCTATCTTGTAGAAGGTATGATTTTTTATTCAAACTTTTTTTTAAACTATTTAGATCGTTTGAATTTTTTCATTTTTATTCTATTTGAAGTTTATTATTTTTATGTTATTGTTCTATTTAGGTTTTTAAGTTTTTTATTTTTTTTGATTAATGAATAACGACAAACGTTTCGTACTTAAATTGAGTACAACGAATGATGACTCATAAAAAGCCGAAAGTAATATTATTATCGTCATTGAGTCATTTCAAAATATGAGAACAACTGATTAGGCATTTTCAGAATTATAATCAACAATTTTACATTTTTGGGAAAAAATTCCATATTATTTGATGTTTCCTTTCCAGGTTAGTTAAATTCTATGTGTATATTCATACTACGACTATAATATTAAAWGGAAACTACTTAAAAATACAATTGTTTAAAGTATCATAATTAAAATTRAAAAATACTTAACAAAATAATTGTATACTTTTTAATTTGGGGACCATTTCCAGACTTAAGCAATGGCATTGCTCCAAAAGAAATTTAATTTAATTGAACACATTTACTACTAACCATATAAAATTATGTTTAACATTTTAAATTTGAATAGAATAAAATACTATTATAAAATAATAAAATGTGTTAAATTTTGTATCTAAAAATGGTATTGGAATAATAATATAATCTTAACATTGAAAATATAAATATGTAATGTTGGGTGATATGAWGGTAGGCAGTTTTTCTTACGTATAAGTGAGCTTTTTGTAATTGTGGCGATTGTAGCACCCCTGAGATTTGAACTCTAGGTACTCAAATGAATAATCATTACCTCTATGTATTCTAAACCCATTGACTTATGATCCTTAATACACAAAATTAAATAACTAAAAACATGAAAATGACTATCTTAAATTTAGATTTGAATGCACCAATATTTTAATAAAAATCATCAGATTAACAATTAAAAGGAAAAGGGGGTGATTTTTATTTGAAAAAAATTAGTTTGTATCCCCCCAGTTTATTTTTTAAGAGCTCTTTAAGTAAATACAGGTGCCTAAAAAAAATTCTAAAAATCTTAATTTGAATAAATGGGGGTGCTTGTCTAGGTGAATCACTCAATGTTACTGTTAGAATTCTCCTTTTAAAATATTAGCTACCTATGAAATATTAATATATCAGTGCTTATCAAATTTTGTTAACGAATATTTAATTCAGAATATTTTTTTATCACAACAAATAACAATTATATATTAATCTTCTTTTAACGAAACATTTAAAAGTTATGTAAAATAAATTTCTATCAGCAAGTATGTATCGAAATTCATGAAATGTTTTTCTCGTATGCTTCAATTCAATTTTCTTCTTCAGTGAATTGGCGCAGTATTATTTTCTTTGAGAACATATGATTTTCTTTGGTAAACTAATTTTGAAAACTATGAAAGTTTTTTATGGTTATTTAATGTTTGTGTGCACCACGTATTAACAACAATGACATTTGTCAGTCTATAAAATGAATAACAATTCTACATACAACARCAATGTCAATTAACTTGGACTTTTATTTTATTTTAAAATCATTATATTAAATAATGATAATATTGTAAATATTAACGAAAATTGTGTGATAAAAAAATCTACGTACGTTAATGTTATRACTGACAAAGTGCCTTCACTGGAATACTATTTTAATTAATTTTTTCCAGTTATGTAATTTCATTCATATTTTTTTACTTATTGTTTTATATTATAACAGATTGTAGATTATATCATGACAAAAGAAAAAAATATTAGAATAGATTTAGTTTTATTGTCCTGTGAATAATAATTAATATATTTAAAACTAAATGA